TTTGACCACCAATTGAGAAAAATCTCCAGTATTAGCCACAGTAAATTTTCTTTGCTATAAGCCTTTCTTTAAGGGGGTACAGTACACATTGTTCAAAAAGTACAAGCCTTCAGTCTCTTCCCCTGAGTTAGGTAGGTGTCAAGAAACAGACGTGATTTGGGAGCTGAAAGTCAGCGCTTAAGTCAGCACCCAACCAGACACTTTGAGAGAGATGTACCTCACATAGCTAAGGTGAGGCTCTCGGCCTTGGTGGCATCCTGCGAAGCACCAGAGATAATACCAGGATCGAGCCCAAGGGGCAGCAGAGGCAGGAGAATGTACCAGGGTGACAGGTTTGCTGTCTTGTTCTCTTACCACCTTTCCTTCCCCTTTTCTCCTCAGAATTTTCCTGTCTCCTTTTTACATTAGAGACCATGCTGCATTAGTTCTTTAGGATACACTACAACTATAAACCTCACCTTTCCTCCAGGTCTTAGAGTCTTCCCTCTCCCACCTGAACAGAACTGGGATGCCAGCTATAAACAGATCTCCTAGCCCACCCAAGCAGAACACTTCTGCTTCCGACCAGACCACATTCAGACTCAGCGTAAAGAGCACGATCCCCTTCAAACCCAGCAACCAAGCTCTGCTGAAGGCAGCTTATGACATACAGCTCAAGTTGACCAAAAACTTGCATAAGCCCATGATAGTTTTACCATCTTCTATTTGGCATTCAGATGTGAATCAGTGAAAAGGATGAAATTTTAAGTACAAAAGAGATGGACTAAAAAGTGTCAAAAAAAAAAGCTAATAGAGGATAAAAGAGGATCTGAAAGCAGAAAAAACAAACATCAATAACTGGAAGTTACTTAAATCATTCTTTCTCATTATTACATTACAGGAAAAACATAGTTTGGGGTTTTTTTCAGTGCCGAGAAATTTGAGTTGGATTATTACCTCAGTTAAGTCAATGCAAACCCAGAGTAATGCTATTCACTTCAACAGAAGTTCTCGGCATTTTAGCAAGAACCCTTGAGAATAGAATCAAATGCAAGTAAACAATCTCCTCTCAGATGGGCTGTCACCTCCTATAGCTATAAGTAAGTTCAATTAAAAATGCAGTGAAATAGAACCAAAATAGCTCTGGAACCAGCGTCAGGCAGTGACACTTGGGAAAATGCCAAAAGGAATTATTGCATCCCTTTCACGCATTAGTTTCACGTACATCACAGTAACTCATGAGTATACAGCAGTGTCCCAGGCAGGATTAGATGGATTCATAGGCAGCAGTTTGATAAACACATGATAAAGGCAATAGGCAAGGATGACCTCTATCATCGCTAACCCCATAACATTGAGTGCTGAGGAGCAGGAGGAAGAAAGGCTGCAAAATGTGGCCAAGGATGAGGGCAAAATACTGGCCTAGCTGGGCATCTCATCTGACCCAGCAGGGAATTTCATATGCTTTTCTTATCCATGCATATCTCCTTATTCTAAAATTACTGTACCATTTTATGGTATATGAAATAAGAAACAGCCCTCCTCTGAAATTACTGGATTATTCACTGGTATTTACAAATGTATCATTTCCCTACTGTATTGGTCACATTCCTAAGTAATTATTATGTCCTTCATTCCAGACCTGCATGTTGCAGGAGTGGGATGAGCACGGATCTAGATTCTTAGGTACATACTTTTTGTGCAAATCTGTACATTTCAGATAGCATCCTTTGCTGTTGTGAGTCCCACAGGAGCTTCTGAAGATGACTATGGGGCCATCTCCATCTTCAGTAGGACTGTGAGAACCTGCCTAAGCAAAAGATCTGAAAAACTTGTTAACAAATAGCAGTCAAGGGGAAGCAAAGCAGAGTGTTTTACTTTTTAAACCTGCTAGAATAGTATGAAACCCCACATATTCAGTGGGGAAACATTTAAGCCTTATAATAGTGGCATTTGTTCTCCCTCATCTCTATCATTGCCCATGCACAGCTACTGCTCCGTCTTTAATACAGACCAGTTCCAGGCATGGGCAGTACCCAAAATTCTTTGAGAACAGTATTAGCTCTATTGCTTTTGTGCCAGTCAAGCATCAAATCCATAGTTTGGGTCTCGACCTACTACTGCCTTTGGGCAAGGCCAGGCCAGGATTATCATCTGGCTGTTCCTTTAAGGGTGCTGAAAGTGGATGCTGAAAGCCAGCTGGAAATGTTTTCAAAGGAGGTGTCATCAGAGCAAGCTGAAATACCAGAAGAACAGGAAAAGCACAAAACCCAAGTAGAGTCCAGTAGCTGCAATACACTCAGGCAGCCAGAAGCCCGGAGATATTAAAAGGGGACATTTCCTTTGGAAGTAAAAAAGGAAGAGCTCCAGCAGACAAGGTAAGATTATATATGAACTTTGGAAATCAGGAATCCTGCAGTGATAAGAGAAAGAGGGAGGAAAGAAGAGAGCAGTCTGGTGGGGAACTGGGGCGCTTGGTCAGGCTGTGTGGGAGCAGAGCTGACAGCTCCAGCACTAACCAAGAATTGTTGAGGGAAGGAAGAAACAGAGGAGGTTTTGCTTGAGAATGACACCAAGTCACGCCACCATCTCTCCAAAAGTTAAGAAAAACCCTAGAGTTAAAAGATGTATTGACTGTAAGGGGTGACTGAATGGGAACAAGTTGGATCCCTCCCCCTTAAGGTACAGATCTTATTGTCAGAGGTTTGTGGGCATGAATGCAGAAAGGAGCAATTATACCAGCAGCCAGCAGAGCTGAGGCTGCAGCAGAGCCCTTCACCATTGATGAAGGGCTGGGGCATAAGGTGAGAGCATACCCTGCTGCCGACAGAGCAGCACCCACCTCCCATGCCCCAAGGGCAGAGGGGGCTGCCACTGCAAGCCCTCAGCCCACTGCATTTCCCAGCTCAGCACCAGTGGCAGGTTTTCCCTGCACTGCTGCTTTAATCAGGTGGGAAACTTCTCATCTGACATATCTGCCCACCTAACATAGGTACCTCAAAGCGTAAACCTACAGAAAAAGAGCTACTTATTTAGCAGAAAACCCCAAAAAGTGCATGTGCTGGGACTGGAGGGATGCAGTGACCAGGGCACACCTCAAGTTTTTCTGTATATAGCTCAAACCAGAAATTACTGCACAGGATGGCACAGCTGGCCACAGATGGGCAGCATCAGAGGTGCAGCACACAGCGCCCTGCGAGCTCTGGGAATACAGCAGTTTGCCCCACTCACCTTCCAAGGTGTGGGACATTTTGACAGGATCCATGAGACCTGCTGCCTTTGCGCCACACAACCTGCCACGGGGAGAGCAAACAAGGCCTGAAACAGACTGGGGCCAAGAATCTAGGCTATCAAGTGAGAAATATAACCTGGCTAAGTCACAGAGCTAACTTGTGCAAGTGTTCTTCATCACAGTGCCAGAGATGCTCTTCATCCCTCCTCTTCCTGATGCCTTTCTGAGAACCTCTGGATACCACATGAGGCATTCACAGGCGTTAGGGTGCTGTAACACTTTAATGATTATGATGTGAAAGGAGAGGCAGGGGATGTTATGGTGACTAAGTGAGTGTGATCCTGTGCAGGGCCAAAACCGGTCCTGCCAAAGCCATGTCTGCAGCAGAAATGCTTATTTCCTTGAGCACTCTGAATGTGTCTCATTCCTCCTGTACACATTTTTCCTTTGCTGGGGTCATCTTGCCCTCTAGTGGTTCACACTACAGAGCTGACACAGAGCTAAATTCATTTCTGCTGCAAATCCTGAAATGCCAGTGGTTTCAGCTGTTATGCATAAAATGAAAGAATTCAAATTCCCTTTGATCTGCACCCATTTCTTAGTGCATCAGACCATTAGTAAAATGTGTTATCATGGTATGAAGTTAGAAAAGAAGATGCATAATGACTGCTACCTTATACATTATATATCACACCCTGTAAGAGGATCCTCTGCCCATCCAATCTGGAGTGATATAGTCAACAGGTACATGAGTATTTTAGCTGTTTTGGATGAAATTTTTCTTCAGCTTTTACAAAAGAGTTTGAGGAAAATCACTGCCTGCAAGATACTTCATTTTTAAGGTTAAAACTTTTGCCTGAAAAAAAAGTTCTCAGGAAGTAAATAGGTAAAACTCAAAAGCAGAGCGATGGAAATCCCAGCTGGTAACAAGCACCCTCCAGAGGGCTCCAAAAGAGAAATTGTACACATTTAGATTCCTGACATTGCCTATACCAACAGGAATATGGACTATAACTTACTGTCTGTTTCCTTTGTGTGGCCCCCATTACACCCATTTTGACTTCTCTTTGGGCTCCGTCCAGCAGAGTTGCAAAGTTTAATTTATTCCGTAAGTCTCAGCTAGAGACAAGAACAAAAATATATGTCTCGTTTCATTTTAGCATGAAATACTACTTTCAGTGACCACAGATGGTTTTTTTATCGACTGAAAGTAGGATGTCTGTATGCAACTTCTGACGCAGTTAATTCCAGCTGAGGATCTGGCTTGACATCCTTTCTGTATTTATTAACAACTCTCATCTGCTAGGCTCCAGAGTTACCAGCTCTCCATAACAGGAAAGCCATGCACGTCTAGGAAGCAACGGAGAAAAAGCAGCAACTGTGAACTAGTTACTTGTCATTCAACAAGGTGCTTGGCTGTGATCAGTCATGGGTTTGAGGGAAATCTCAGTGCTCAGCTGTCCTCAGTGACTTTTCTCTAGAAAGTCTTTTCCTGTGGTTAGCTTGGTCAGTGCAGATCAAATGACAGTGTAGTTTGTCTCCCAGTTAAAAATCTTCCAAGTAATTCTTTATACATTATCTACAGAGACAAAGAAATGGGACAAATGTACGGAAAGGCTGTTCACTTTAAGGTTATGAAGAAAAAGGTTTTCCAACTGCCAACCTCTAAAAAGCACTCCTTAGCATTAGAAATCACAAAATAAAAAAATCAATTACAAGACATCTTTGTGCTTGTGTGGGCAGTATCATCCTTCTAACAAAATTCCTCCTCAGTTTTGCTGCAGAGGCCATGGGCTGCTGGAAGCAAGATAAAAGCTACACCTGGACTTTTCCCACCCTGATCGTCTGCCTCTATGGGTTCTTCTGCATGATGAAACCATCAGAACCTTTCCTAACACCCTATCTAACAGGACCAGATAAAAACCTGACCATAGATGAGGTATGGTTTTACTCTGCCTTTTCTTTTATATGGAGCAGCAAAAATAAAAGAAGTAAAACTTTGTTTAAAGTTTTTAAACAAAGATAAAAACCCCAAAAAGCAGATGGCATAAATAAAAGATCCAGTGAGTGGATTTAAGATCCATTTGCCTGCTCAGTCACATGCCGCTTCAGCATGGTTATATATTTTATGAATTCCTTCAGAGCAAAAACTTCCCTCTACAAAGCCATTTAAAATAAATGAACTTCATTTCCCCAAGAGTAGCAACACAGAGATTTCCTCTTCTCTCTTAGGTTACCAACCAGATTTTCCCAGTTTGGACATACTCCTACCTCGTGCTCCTTTTCCCAGTCTTCCTGATTACAGACTATGTACGCTACAAGCCCATCCTCCTCCTCCAGGGAGTCAGCTTCATCATCACATGGCTCTTGCTCCTCTTCGCACACGGTGTGGCGGCCATGCAGGTGGTCGAATTCTTCTATGGGATGGTGACAGCCAGCGAGGTCGCCTATTACGCCTACATCTACAGCGTCGTCAGCACCGATCACTATCAGAGAGTGACGAGCTATTGCAGAAGTATCCCTCTGGTGGCAGGCTTCCACAGGAAAGATGTCTCAGAAACATTCCCAGCACCGGATAAAGTTGTGGCTACAGTCTGCTCTGACGGGCCATCGAGCTGCCAAGAGGACAAGGGCTCCGCGCCTGCTGACAGGGGACCAACAGCTGAACAGCAGCCTGACAAGGCCAAGCCCCAGAATCACGTGCTCAGAGTACTGGTGCAGCTGAGCCAGGACCTGAGGGATTGCTACAGCTCTAGGAAACTTCTCTACTGGTCCCTGTGGTGGGCTCTGGCTACGGCAGGCTTTAACCAGGTTCTGAATTACATCCAAGTGCTGTGGGACTTCAGAGCCCCCTCTCACAGCTCTGCCGTGTACAATGGAGCTGTTGAAGCAATAGCAACTTTTCTGAGTAAGTTAGCGTCTAAGCATTGATCACAAAGGCGGTGTCTAAAGTTTTACTTTAGAATGCTTTTAAAGTGCAATTCCATTGCAGGTGCTCCAGGAAGCCAGTGTATGTGTTGTGCATTCAAGACCTAGTTCTTCGATGTACGAAACAGTTCAAATGTGAGCTATGCTATTTTTCTTTAGGACGGGGACACACAACTTTATCTTACTGTATGCAGAGACTGTACAAGTCACAGACTTTACATCCAGGTGCTAAATCCATTCAGAGGCACCTGTGTTTCTTCGGATGATGATGTTGTTTGTTTGGGGTTTTTTTCCCCCAAACAAGTATTGCACAGTTCCCATAACAATGGTATTAGCTTACACAGATGAGAGAATTTGTTCGTAAATATTTACACAAAAAGAACGTAATTCTCTCATTAAAATCTTTTTCTAGTGAAATACTCTTGTGCATCAGGATGGAAAGAAGAATTTTAGTCATTCCGAGATACAGAGTTTTGCAGAAAAACACCTTGTTGTACTCATTACACTACTGTTAACCATTGCGCTTTTGCGCATGAAGCAGATGCTCATGCCCCATAAACAAAGTAATGTTATCAAAAGGTAACATCAAAGGATACCACCCTGACTTGGCAGTGTTTCACATATTTGTATTGTGCTGCTGTAGAAAACTTGCACAAGACAGTGGGGTGTGGTCTACCCAGGAAAATAAACATGCCTACATCATACCCGGTCATTCAGGTTACCTGTACAGTCATTAAGGAGAAACAGATACTTCTAAGATTAAAAATTACTCGTCTTGAGGTAGCCAGCTAAATAGCCCAACTTAATCACAAATTAGAAGCACTTAACTCCTGTGGTGTCTACTCCCTGATGAATTCCTCTTTCTCATGGAATTGCCTATTTCTCAATGTAGAGGTGTAGAAGTTTTAAAATTGTACGAGACCCCTAAGATGGGGGACTTACCTTCACAACAGACGTGTCTTTAGCAGGCCCAACGAAAGATAACAGTGCCTGTCCTTTACCATTTCCCCGAACATACCCACTTGACACCTCAAAAAAGCTCCCTTTTTTGACAGCTTAGCCCTTTTATGAGCTGCACAGAGCTAAACTGTTAAGCCAGAAGGTTTACTAGCTTAGCTATAAGGTAAGCTAGTAAAAGCTGGAAGAACTGTTCTTTTTGAGCTCCAGACCATGTTCCTAATTCTCTCCCTAAAGATACATGCTGGGTACATACAGCTAAATAATGAATCCTTCCACATTACAGTTTATCCTGTGAAGTGGAATAAGAAAGGAACAGCAGAGACTTGATATATGCAGTTGTCTAAAAATGACCAGCCACCTGCATTTCAGCAGTGATGGGAAATGCTTTCAGAACACTTCAGAACAACTCTGCTTCATTATTTAGCATTGCCTTTCAGCATGTGAGCGTGGCAAGTCTTGGTGATATAAGCTATAGAACAGATACAACATTTACATGTTTTTTTTCTCTTTTTCTAGGCTCATTAACATCTTTTGTAGTACAATATATGAAAATTAACTGGGACCTTTTTGGAGAACTGGCTTTAGGAATCTTCTCTGCAATAGATGCTGGTTCTCTATTTCTTATGCACTTCACTACCAACATCTGGGCATGTTACGCCGGCTATCTCATTTTCAAAGCATGCTATATGCTCCTCATAACAATAGCAACGTAAGTACAAAATCTTACAGTGCTGCCATTATGCACATAATACAAACTGTACTTTCCAGTTTACTTTGGGCATCCCTCCTGTTACTCAGAGGTAGCTGATCTAATGCCAGACATAACTGTATAGGTGAAGACAAGGACACTTAATGTCTAGTTATGTTGTTTTCGTTTGTCTAAACAACCACAAAAAGAAAAATTATCAAAAGGATATTGATCATTTGCATCAGCAGAAATTAAACAAGGTACAAGGTATCTATTACTGAAGGCAATGGTAACAGCAAAACACATAAGCTATTTTCCTCCTTTCTGGCACAGAAGATGCAAAGTGAACAATAGGGACAAGCATGACTTGACAACCATCCTTGAAGATCCCCTTATGTCCAGGCCACCTTGCTGATACACTTTTTAGCATGCCATCATCAACTGCATGAATGCAAGAAAAGATTTGGCATGGAGAGTTCCCCAGCATAACTTTGCACTTATAATCCTTAATGATATTATGATGTAAAAAAGGAATAAAAGAGAACACCAGACATATAAACTCAGACAAGATCTCTTAGGAGACCAAGCTATTCTGTTGTCAGAAATAAAAAATAAAAGTAATATAAATAAAAAAGATAGTATATAATCTGTGTAATAAATATAAAACATTTTTACTACTCCATCTATTTTATTGATTAGAATGTCTTTAGACATACCACACTATTTCGTTAACAAAAATATCAGATGCATTATTATGTCAAAACCCAAAAATATTCAGATACCATTTGAAAAACCCGCTAAAACTATAATACCTTACAAGATTATGCCTATCTTGAATAAGGCCAAGTACGTCCTCTATTTTCATTTTGGAGGGTTGTTAGTACGTTATAGCAGATCTCACCCGAACTATTTCAACATATTCTACATAAAAAAAGCAAAAGCTTGCACAAAAAAAGAAAACCTGCTAAAAATCAATGAAGAGAGTACTGCAGGAATTACGCTCTTTTGTTCAGATAAAAACTTTGAAGGTAAATATTGCAAGGAAAGATGTTCTGATATTTGTCAAAAAAGATATTGCAAGGAAAATCTACAGGCTTTTGACAGAAATAAACAGTATGCTACCTCTACTGTCAAGCCACAAAGCAAAAAATTATTCACATCATCACAGAAAAGTTGGTTAGAAGATACCCATAGTGACCTTCTAGTCTAATCTCCCAGCCAGGGCAGAACTCATGCCAATGCCAGATCAGGTCATGGTTTTGTCTGGCCAGGTCTTAGAAAGCCTCCATCCACGGAGACTTTACAACCTGTCTGGCACAGTCAGTGAAGGTAGAGAAGGAACAAAGAAGGTTCAAGAGAGCTGATATTCTACTAGGTAAAGCAGATCACCTGATAACATGGTTTGGAAATGCAACACAGACAAGTACAAAAACATTAAACCACACTATGGTAGTCAGCTTTTTTTTTTAGAGAAAGTAAGGAAGCAAACAAACAAATGAAGTACCATTTACTCCATCCTTGATATAGCATCTGCATGAATTGTTTCTCTTCATCAGCTAAACGGAGAGCAAGAGCTTTCCACCCAGTGTGAAGTAACTGACCTGCCAGTCTCACGTTAGGTTCCAGATCGCAGTCAATCTGAGCATGGAGCGCTATGCCTTGATGTTCGGATTCAACAACTTTGTTGCACTGGTGATTCAGACCATTCTTACAGTAGTTGTCGTGGATTCAAGAGGCCTGGGACTGGACATAGTGACTCAGGTAAGTGCTATTAACTTACTTTCTAGGTACTGCTTAGCCAATTCATCTTCAAAAGTTTACCAAGAGAAATTGCTATGCTAAAGGACAATTTAATTCCCTCTTTCTTCTATAGAAATGTAGCCATCTTCCATTTCCCTTGTGTCAGCTATCATTCTTCCCTTTTGCCTTTTAGTGCAGCATTTAGGATTACAGATGCTGGTCTTTGACTTTTTAAAGGCAGATACACCAGAACGTAAATAATCAGGTCCTGATATCTGACCAGTTTTTGCTGATTAATAGGACACTGAATAACATCCTCTCTGCCCAAACAGGTTTTCTCAGATGCAGAATCAATACACCCAATTGTTGTTAGGGTAGTTCATGCCTGGATTATTGGAATTACTTCAGCTCAAGTGAAAAGGACACCTGCCCTCCAATTCCTCAATGCAAATAAGTTTTCTGCCCATAGTTTGGGCACTTAATTTGGGGTGGGATATCCTATCTCACAGCAGTGTCCCTAACTTCAGTCAGCCCAATTCCACTCAGGTTGGTGGACTGAAATGTACTGAATTCTGCATTTTCTCAGGTGGGATCTCAGCTGAGGCAGCTTGCTACTCCCATGGATTTTAAGACGACTAAAGCTATTCAGATATTCTGCAAAGAGAAGGCAAAAATTACTTTAAAAGATTAAAGATTGAATTAAACACTAAAAATTAAAACTTTAAAATTAAGGAATACATAGGACTTCATAACTAGCCTTGGCACTGTTATTGGAAATACTGATAGACAGTCATGGCCTATTTACTGAAGCCAGTGTGGTGACAGCACTGAAATGTGCAAATAAGAAAAAAACCAACCACAAAACCACCACAACTCAGCCTCTTCACTTACGTTATTCATGACTCTGCAGGTAATGAAGCTACTTCTACATTTTTCACTATTAGAAAAAATCCCGTTCCTATCCTTCTCTCTCCCTGATGTTTATTAAGGCATAAGGATTGGAAGCAATGGGCAGTTCTTCATTCCTCAAAGATCTGCTGTTTGCTGGAAAAGCTAAGATTTGGCTTAATCACAAAGCAAAAACTTGAACATAGAGAAACTGTGCCAGAACACGGTAAACAAAATAATAGAGTGTCTGTCATATCCAAAAGCAGCAGCTTCTCTCTAATGTGTTTTTCATTAATTCTTCTGCCTTTTTCTCTCCCCCTCCCAGTTTTTAATTTATGGCAGCTACTTTGCAGTCATAGCTGGGATTTTCTTGATCAGAAGCATTTGCATGCTTGTCTCAAGCCAATGCAACAGGAAAATAGCAAGATCTTGCAAAGAGCATCCGAACCATGCTGAACATGAATCAAAAGAGCAGATTGTAACTGGCTATACGACATGGCTGTAGGAGTTGGGCAGGCAGGCTCACGTGGCCAGGCCCTCCTGGGAGAAGAGCTCCTGCTGCAGCAGGCAGGGAACAGCAGTGCAGGACCAACATACAACACAGCCCTGAAAAGCTACGCTGAATCATTACAGCACTTTGTTACAACATATGCCAGCTGAAAGATCACCATAATGGCACTGTGCCAAGAAGAAAAGATAAGTTGCTTTAGATTCTTATTTAGTTGCCTAAAAATAGCTTAACAGTAGTAATTTATACACAAGAACAGAGCATCCACCTTGGCATCTCACTGTGCACAATGGCAAAGATCAGAGTTCACCCTGCCTTGCTTGTTCCAGCTCTTGTATGCTCTGCAGGCAAGCTGCTTCCATGCACATTTGCTCATGCATGTGGGTAAAGGGTCTATCCCCCCTTTGCACATACTTTGATCTGAACCAAGGAAGGTGGGATTGTGTTTGCATCATTCTATTCTTTCCCACCTAACCACAGGCAATTCAGTGACAGACTCCTCTCTTCTAACGTAAAAGCCCACGTCAGAAGTGGGCCTTTTGCACACAATGGTGCAGAAAAGCAGGGTTTGCACAACCTGTCTTTCTGAGAAGATTCACTAAAACACTGCTAAGCCACAACTGCTGCTCAGCCCACCTTTGAAAGCTGCAGCCTAAACACTGTACTGAGTCCATAGCAACCTCAGCCCAGAAGGGAAAAACTTCAGAGTCAAAGCAAAATGAAAGAGCCCTGTTACTTTCCTTGTGTTTCCAGTAAAATTCCATTCAGGACTGAGCGTCTTCCTGTTTCAACAGGAAAAAAGAAGTGGACTGTGGAGAAATTTGGCTGATTCCACACAGGAAAATTCCAGATGAACGCAAATATCCAAGAAGATTTATAACCGAAACAAAAAGCTAGCATAATGTGCGCTTTTGAGTGCCAAATGAGGGAGGTCCACTGATCTTGGCCAAGGATTTGGCAGGGTCAGCATCTCAGAATTTACCAAGAAGCTTCGAGTCCTATGGCTAATTTAGCCCAGCATAAAGGACAGTTAGTCCAGAAGAAAAAAAAAAAAAGAGACTATAAATGAGTTTGCATAGCGAATGCATAATTTAATATAAATTATATCCATATGTTGAAGTTATTTCTGTACTGCTGTTTGCTTCTAGCTTCCAATACCTACATCTAAATAATAAAAATAGAAATGACTTAGCATTTACAGAATAATATTTCTCCTGTAGAGATGCGACAAGCTATCATTTGCACAGACATATGTGCGTTTCGTACAATTGTCACATACTGTGACCAGACAAACTGCCCAGAGGCAAGAGCAGGCAGGAGAGAAGCAATTTGTTTCAAGTCACAGGAAGAATCAGTAGGATTTGACAAATGAACCCAACTTACTTTCTAGGCTTTTTGTTTACTGCTGTGCATTGTGTGGACATTCCCCATTGTAAATTGACTGTAAGCAGAACACCTTAACCAATGCAGTAGTAAAAGTGGGGGATGTACTTAATCTCTACTAAGCAGTAAGTATCTTTCATTACTGCAGAACTGAGGGCATGGTACTCCTGCCAGAAGAAATGGGGACAAAGTCCAGTAGAGCAAGGACTATTCTGTTTTACTTTTCCTTGTAAGTAGGAATCATCTTTTGCAGCATTTAGTTAGAGAACTGGGTGCCAGTCCCAGACTAGAAGCTAACCAGAGTTTGTGTTTAAATGAAAAAGAGAACTTGATATTTCCACCTCCATGGTCTCAAACTGCTTTTGGTACAAGAAGTTAACAAATATTTCTCTCTCTATGTAGCATCTGACAAAAGGAAAGCAATCAGCAACATGTGAAACTTTTTACTATTATTAAAAAATAATGGCAGTAGTTACCTGCCGGAAAAGAGCTAAAAAATCTGGTAGAAATAACCATAAACATTCTCCCATTCTGAACTGGTCAGAGCTCACTGCCTTCTGTGTGTACGGGATGCCACTAAGGAGTAAAGGAACCAAGCAGACACAATGTATTTGGTTTGCAGCCGTAGAGAATGCTATCTTCAGAAAACAGATAAGACTTAAAAAACAAACAAACAAACCACCACTATTCCTATCCTCTCAAATCTCCAAAAGAAAGATTCTAAGGTTGGGAATTGGGGGAGTATTTGTGCAGGAAGGGGGGGAATAGGGAAGGCAGAGGGCAGCTCTTAGGAGTTTAGGAAGGACGCGACACATTGGAGGCAGAAATAACAGCAAGAGAAAGGTAAGGCCTTGCCTTACCCTGGGTTTTCAGCTGCAAATTGGCATTAGTCCAGCAATCAGAGATTTCACCCAAAACAGTAAAATGCACACACGTACCTGCGTGTTCACATACATACACACGCTCTTTGGCGAGGAGATAGTTGAGGCTTGGCAGGTTTACGAGCAAGGCTGGAACCACAGGCTCTCTAGTTCTGCAGGAACAGGCAACTCTGAACAAATCCCTCTCCTTGCAGCTTTTAGTATTAAGTGCTTATCTTTCTCCCAGCATACTAGAGAATCCCACGTAAATATGAAAATCCAGAGCTCAGCACATCGCTCCCCATAGCTACAACCCTCCCTAAATACAACACTAACTACCGTTGAAACATCAGCGGGTTGGGGCACAAGTCTTCTGTGAAGATACAGCCCAGCAAGCTGGTAAAGCCAGCTCTGGCCAACAAGGCAGCAAAAAATTGTATCTTTGTATTCAAAGCAAGGAGGTATTAAACGAAGCACTGCACAGGTTACCAGAGAAATGCTGGTCAGCAGCTGCCTTCCAGCAGACCAGTAGACCTACGCAGCAGCACCTTCCCCATGGTTCTTTTTCTTTCTCAGAAGCCATTGGTAAAGAAAGAGAACAAAACATGGAGGCAAAGCCTGGCTTCTCTGGGCGCTTGTCCGCCTGGTTGCATGCTCGAAGCAGTGTGAGAAGTTTCTGTACCTGTGGGGAAAAAGACCGGGCTCTGCCCAGCTTGCAGAGTGGCTCTGGGTAGCACACGGGGCCCCTCCTGCCAGGGCCACAGTGCTTGCTCCTGGGGCCACCACACATCCCACCAGCAGGCTTCAGGGCCAGCTCCCTCCTCTGATGAGCTTTGGAAGACGTAAGGATTCCAATCTAAAAAAATGGGTAAAGGCAAGCAAAGCAGCAGCATTTCTCTGAAGCAGTTGTTTTGATTTTTGAACTTAGAATCTTCTTATTTTCTCATCTATTTGCCCTTAAGTGACAGATTGGTCTTTATATAGAAGTAATTCCTGGCCAACTAGTAGTATGCAGTATTTGATGTCCTACCTCCCCGTGCCCCCAGCAAAGCCAGGGCAGTCAGCAGAGACCCCAAGAGCTCGGAGGCCACTGCCACACAGGGGAGGGTCAGTGTCAGTCCAAACTGTAAAACGGGTGCTGTGTCTTATCCATGTATCAGAGGCCACAGCTTTCAAAGGTATTTATTAACAGAAAAATGCAATCACATGATTGCCTTCTTGCCATGCCTGTTTGTATTAATCATTAGCTACTAAGAGTCTTAAACCTTTATCTTAAAATTAGAGCTCAGTTTGCTGACAAAACCTGTAAAGGAGAAAGCTTCCTCTGCAATCTTCATGGACAAGTTCTGCAAGCAAGAAGAGCTGTGATGAATTATTATTATTTAAATTCTGTTAATATTTTACCAAGTTGAGAAAGAACCTTTAGGAAACAAAAAGACAGAGAAATTTCTTGCCACCTCCAATCCTAAAGGATGGTTTCTGACTTCTACAAGACATCCTGGGAAGACACTGCACATGAATCCACAGCAAATGCACCACAGCCACAGCTTTGACAGGTAATTTATTACCTTCGGAGTTATTTGGAAGCGTGCTGGCCCCTCACTTGGCTCGGTGCATTTGGAAGGGATGCAAGATTTATGCTGATGTCATCGATGAGTCCAGGGTTTAATGTACTTCTATTTTGAAAAGATATCAGTATCAATAACAGATATCAAAGGATTTCAAAGCAGATATAAAGAGTTAAGGATAATACAGGCTATTTTTTATATATAGATACAATGATTTGTAGGAATAAGATGACAGTCAGAGGCAATCATTTGAAATCAAGTTTCAAGGTTAGGGTTGGTTTTTGTACATTTAGGATTACAGATGCTGGTCTTTGACTTTTTAAAGGCAGATACACCAGAACGTAAATAATCAGGTCCTGATATCTGACCAGTTTTTGCTGATTAATAGGACACTGAATAACATCCTCTCTGCCCAAACAGGTTTTCTCAGATGCAGAATCAATACACCCAATTGTTGTTAGGGTAGTTCATGCCTGGATTATTGGAATTACTTCAGCTCAAGTGAAAAGGACACCTGCCCTCCAATTCCTCAATGCAAATAAGTTTTCTGCCCATAGTTTGGGCACTTAATTTGGGGTGGGATATCCTATCTCACAGCAGTGTCCCTAACTTCAGTCAGCCCAATTCCACTCAGGTTGGTGGACTGAAATGTACTGAATTCTGCATTTTCTCAGGTGGGATCTCAGCTGAGGCAGCTTGCTACTCCCATGGATTTTAAGACGACTAAAGCTATTCAGATATTCTGCAAAGAGAAGGCAAAAATTACTTTAAAAGATTAAAGATTGAATTAAACACTAAAAATTAAAACTTTAAAATTAAGGAATACATAGGACTTCATAACTAGCCTTGGCACTGTTATTGGAAATACTGATAGACAGTCATGGCCTATTTACTGAAGCCAGTGTGGTGACAGCACTGAAATGTGCAAATAAGAAAAAAACCAACCACAAAACCACCACAACTCAGCCTCTTCACTTACGTTATTCATGACTCTGCAGGTAATGAAGCTACTTCTACATTTTTCACTATTAGAAAAAATCCCGTTCCTATCCTTCTCTCTCCCTGATGTTTATTAAGGCATAAGGATTGGAAGCAATGGGCAGTTCTTCATTCCTCAAAGATCTGCTGTTTGCTGGAAAAGCTAAGATTTGGCTTAATCACAAAGCAAAAACTTGAACATAGAGAAACTGTGCCAGAACACGGTAAACAAAATAATAGAGTGTCTGTCATATCCAAAAGCAGCAGCTTCTCTCTAATGTGTTTTTCAGTCAGAGGCAATCATTTGAAATCAAGTTTCAAGGTTAGGGTTGGTTTTTGTAACCTTCCCCTGAGGTCACAGAAATACTGCCTTAACATAATAATTATGCTGAGTTTTAATAAATATAATCTCACAGTGCAAGTAGGAGCACTTTTGATGAATTCCATTTTATAGCAGGCACTTCAACAATTTAAAAGAAATAGCCTGTAACAGCTTGATTAAGCATTAGTCAGTGCTTTGCTTTCATTCTTTCATGGTTTGAGAACATTCTTGTTTCACTTGTTTTCCAGGAACAGTAGAATTGACTTTCTAAAGCAAAACAAGTAAAATAAGCTTTAAACCCCCAAACCTCTTCAGACTTCTTTTTGCTGCCAACTACAGTGAAGAAAAGCAGTCCCATTCTTTTCCTTTTGATCACTTTTCAAAGTGAAGCCAGGATTCCTCTTTTCTAAGTTTGAGCGGGTGCAACAAGCAGATAGTTTCTATGTTTTTTTTTACCTTCTCAAATGACCAGAGTGCAAGAAATATGATGAGTATTAAAGTACTTTGAAGAAATGGAGCTCACAATGGGTTGTGACCTGGCTGGTGGCTTTTATCGTCTGCAGAAAGGCTTGCGCCTCTCTTGTTCCACGCCTCTGTTGTTCCTCTTGACTCTCAGGCTGCAAATCAACAGAAAAAAGCCACCTTGAGCATGCTTCGAATGAGCTTTAATCTCACAGTTTGCCCACTTGTTTATTCGGAAATAAGACTCTAATGGAACTTTATTCTCCCACTACGATACATCCAATCAATTCTAAGTACGTCATTAAGAACAACCTTTGATAGATGATACAGAGGCTGGAGTTTGCCACCACCAATGCACCTCGATCCAAGTCGTTCATTTACAAGCTGCACCTGCGATCACTGGCAGGTTTAGAGAAAGAAGCATTAGCTGGAGTAGGGTTAGTTAAAAAGTAAACTTACAAATGAATTCTTACCAACTGTGAAGAACATCCTTATGAATTCCTGGTATGCTCATTTCTTCACTACTTTTTTTTTTTTAGGTAGACTATGGATTGCTGGAAGGGAGACGTAGGCCGCAGCTGGATTTATCCCACACTCATCATCTGTGCAAATGGATTTTTCTCCACAATGAGGCCATCAGAATCTTTTCTCACTCCTTATCTAACCGGACCAGACAAAAACCTAACGATTGAAGAAGTACGTAACTATACCCTTAATAATTAAAATAAAAGCATTGTCTTACAGCAGTAACTAAAGGGGAGATAAACTGTTTGATAATACAGGTATATTTTATCTAGAGACTTATATTTAAGATGCTTCTGGGGAAGAGTAAGGACTCACCTCTTTTGCAGAAGGTCAAAACTTTAGGTTTTTTACATTCTTAGGACTTTGAAACCATTTTGGTGGCTGTTAAGGAATGGGTACTTTCAACAAAATCAGGTCAGCTAGTCCCTCTCCCCACCTAGAATCCCAGAGGAGGAGCAACACTAAGATTTATTTATACTTATTGTGGAATTGATTATGCTGACAGTGATGTAGTGATTGCAAATCATAAGAAAACCAAGCGGACTTCCCCTTACAAGCTGTTAGATTACCTACGTTACACAAGCTCGTTTTATGCATTCACTTCCCTCTGGAGGTCAGATTCACATACAAAAAAAATATTTTTTTGACAAAAGCATGCACTGCAAGCTTCCTTGCTCTGCTCTTCTGTTCAGCACTGGCTGCTTCAGGAGTACACTTCTCAACAAAAGGGGACGTAGTTAACAAGTGGCTGAGTCATGAAGCTAATGGTATAATTAGAAAACACAGGCTTGGTGCACCCACATACAGCTAACATGAAGAACAGACATTCCTGATGTGCAGTAGCAAATATTAAGGCAGAATCTGCTAGCATAGTGTGAACCCAAGGTTTCTTCAGGAAAAAAAAGGTATTCGTGATTTGGGTTGTTGTTGGGGGGGGGGTTCCCCCCCCCCCCCCCTTTTTTTTTTTTTCTCCAAAAAAAAAAAATATTTT